CTCACACCCAAGGCAGCGAAACTCAAGCTCATGCTTTCGTCCCCCTGTCTTCATTATTCTAAACCCTCCTCCCTGGACTCTCCAACTCCACTATCCACAAAATCCAACTTATTAAAAACTCTGCTGTCCCTATACTCACCTGCTCTAAACTCTGTACTCCTATCATACTAGTCCTTGCCAGGCTCCACTGGCACCCTACCACAGAATCTATTCTGTGATAAGCAGCCAGTGGAGTTGACTTCAAGATCTTCACACTCATCTACAAATCCCTTCAAGCCCTGGCACCTCCCTATCTCTCCTACCTGGTTACTCCTCACTTCACCACTCACCGACTCTGTTTGGGTGGTCCTGGCCTCCTACTTATCCCTCGATATGCTTCCCCTTGGTGACATCATCCGCAGACATGGGGTCAACTTCCACATGTATGCGGATGACACCCAACTCTATCTTTCTGCCTCCACCCTCAACTCCAGGACCACTGCTGTCCTGACAGACTGCCTGTCAGACATCAAGTCCTGGATGAGGGCAAATTTCCTACAGTTGAATGGGAACAAGACTGAGGCCCTCCTGATTGGTTTGCGCCAGCGCCTCAGCACCTCAGGCTCTGGCACCATCAACCTCCATAGTTGCACATTTCAACTCACCAGCCAGTCAGGAACCGAGGTGTCTTGTTTGACCCTCACTGTCTTTTCTCCCCTACATTCAAGCCAAGACCCGCTCTGCCTTCACTCACCTCCGTAACATCGCCCGACTCCACCACCACCTCACCCCTCAAGCTGTGAAACACTTGTTTATGCCTTCAACACCTCCAGACTCGATTATGCAAACGCTCTGCTTGTCGGCCTTCCCAACTCCTCCATCCACAGGCTGCAGATAACCCAGATCGCTGCAGCCCAAACTCCGTGACCCCATCTCCCCCATTCTCGCTCAACTCCACTGGCTCCCTATCCTTCAGAGGATCCAGTTCAAGATCCTGGTCCTCACATACAAAGCCCTCCATGGCCTCACCCCACCCTACCTCTGGGACCTCCAAACCCCCTACCAACCCGGCCACTCCCTCCGCTCAGCCAGCTCCGGCCTGCTCCACGTCCCCCGACCCACCCGCCCCATCATCAGCAGGAGAGCCGTCAGCCACTGTGCCCCCAACCTCTTGAATTCCAATCCCCCGTCACTCTGCCTCGCCCCCTCCTTAGCCTCCTTCAGGTCCCGCCTCAAGACCCTCCTCTTCGACCATGCCATCGGCCACCCCCCTTCCCCTCCCCTTCCTTCCCCTCCCAACCCCAGCTCAGGTCTGAAATGCTGTACTCTGTCCAGTGCCTTGGGACGTCCTCCCGGCGTGAAAGGCACTATACAAATGTAATCTTGCTGTTGTTGTCCCCTCCGCTCCTCCATCAGTGCCTGTATTGTCGCCACAACGCCCCAAAACTTTGGAAACTCTTTCCCTCAATCTCTCCGCCTTCTCCCCTTCTCCTTTTTCAGATCACACATGAAGACCTTTCTTATTGACCTCGGCCTCCTCTCTGCCCCAGCTTGGTGTCAGGCTCCCACACTGTAAAGTGCTCCAAAACAGTACCTCGAGTGAAGAGTGCTATATAAATGCAAGTTGTTCTTGCTTTACAGAAATAAAATATAATAATTCTTACATTTGATTATAGCTCCTTTCAATTCAGGAGAAATCTTAGGCAAGTTTCCTTACTCCACACACATGCCTCTGTTTACCTAACAGTAAGTAGGAACCCACATGGTAGTCGATTAGCGGATTGCTCTCTGGGGGTAATAATTCCTCCAAAATAATAATAATGTGGTCACTCAATCCACGACTGTGTGTGGAACACAGTTGCCCACAATTGGCTGCGCATTTCGTCCACAAAACACATAGTCTTTACAGTATATCCTGTGAAGCACTCTGGGACATCCTCCCGATGTGAAGGGCGCTCTATAAATGTAATTTTGTTTTTGTTGTCTCAATGACGTGATAATACGATACATCAAATGCAAGGACTATTATTTTATTTTAGATCGAATAGTTCAAAGCACTTCACGAGAAACACTGTAAATACAATGATTGTGTATTTTGTAGGCAAACGTGGCAAACAATTTGCATACGACAATCTTCCGCACACAACCATGAAGTGAATCACCAGTTTTTGGGGCTGATTGTTGGACACAACAGCAAAAGAGAATCCCTTTTCCCCTCTTCTCAATTAGTGCCATGGGATCTTTAACATCCACCTGAACAGACAGACACAACCTTACGTTTAATGTCTCATTGTCGCACCCCCAACAATGCTGGATACCCCCACATTACACTGGAGTATCAGCCTCGTCTAAGGATTTAAATAACCCGAATAGGGCTCAAGCCTACAATCTTCCGACTCCCTCTTGAGCCACGTATCAGCCTTTCAAAAAAGTCTTGAAACACTTTATTGAATGAGATAAAATTAGAAATGAAGTGAACGCTGTTATGAAGCTAAGCCTAGCAGCTGATTTGTGCCAACATATACTGCAAACAACAATAAGTATCCAACTTGACTAGAAATTTTGGGGCTAGTTATGAGGGTGGAATAGCCAAGATAACTGAAAGAAAAACTCCACTTTTTTTGAAATAACAGAGGGTTTGATCCATTTATGTGTCAGCTTATGTTGTGTGTCAGCCTGGCTCAGTGGCAGCACTCTTGCCTCTGAGTCAGAAGATTATGGATTCAAAGCCCACGTTGGGACTTCAAATTACTTAGTCTAAGCTGACGCTCCAATACAGTGCTGGGGGCTTGTTACATTATCGAAGGTGCCATACTTTGGATCAAATGTTCAACTGAGGTCCCGTCTGGCTGTTCAGGTGGACGTTAAATATCCCATGGCTCTATTCAACAACAACGTCGGGAGGACATCCCAAGGCGCTGGACAGTTGGGTCGGGACCCGAACAGGGGGGAAGTGGTCAGGGTGAGGGGAGAGAAGGGAGTTTCTTCAAGTGTTCCGGCCTACAATCCCACAAGTAAAAACGTTAGTCACACAGTTAATGGTATTTTGAGGGGAAACTGCTGTGTGTAGATTTGTTGTAGCGATTGCCTACAAAATACACAGTCACTACATGTTGAAGAGCTTTGAGATGGCGTCTTCATGCGAAAAGAGCTACATCAAAACTAAGCATTATTATATTATTGTCTTTCTCTGACAGCACACCTAGTGGGAAATCGTGGGGCAGAATGAGGCATAAATGTCCTAAGTGTAGGACCGAGTGAAGTCCTGTAGCAAAATGGTTAAAGCACTTAGCTCGTAAGCAAGACGTGGGTTCGATTCCCGGGCAGGGCGGAATCTTAGGCAAGTTTCCTTACTCCACATCCCTCTGTTTCCCTAGCAGTAAGTAGGAACCTGGTTGGTAGATGGATTGACAGATCGCTTTTTGGGGGTAAAAATCCCATTCCCCAAAAATTTGGTCATTCAATCCACGACTGTTTGTTGGGTGCAGCTGTGCACAATTGGTGGCAGATTTTTCCCACAAAATGTACACTTTGCAGTATATTCTGTGAAGCACTTTGAGACGTCTCAATGACGTGATAAGTGCTACATTAAACGCAAGGATTAATGAATTCATTCATCTCTATCTCTCTGCCTCTAACCTGATTCCAGGACCACTACTGTTCTGACTAATTGCCTGTTAGATAGACATCAAGTCTAGGATAATTTTTTAACTTTCCTCAGCTAAACATCAGTGAGATCGACACTCCTTTGTTTCACCTATCAGCGCCTTCTTGCCTCAAGCACTGATGCACTGATCCGCATGGCTGTACACCCAAGGAGCAAATGCAAAATCTCGGTGTCCTATTGACCCCCAACTGTCCATTATGATCTACATCTGAGCTCTCACTCCCTTGACTTTCCCTCATCTCTGCAACCCCACTCACTTCATGTCCAGGCTAAACTATTTGAATGCCCTGCTTACTGGACTTCCCAGCTTCTTCCTACACAAGCTGCACATCATCCACCTGAACTCTACAGTTCGTGTCACCTTCCACACCAGGCTCTGTGAGCCTATCACCCCATGTTTGCTTGGCTCCAACTACCTCCCCATCCCTCCTCAATTTATGATCCTTGTCCTTGTGTTTAAATTCCTCCACAGCCTCGTCCCGCCTTACCTCTGCAACCTCCTACAACTCTAGGGGGACAATTGCGTACAGTTGGCAGAACTATCTGACTTTCAACACAATATAAAAGCAGTACTGGTATTTAGTGCTAGAAATACAACATATTTTTCAGAAAGTCCCGGTTGCAAGGTTGCAATATTTAAACACTTAAGGTCTTGCACAGGAAAAAAGATCAACTGTTAAACTTTTTTTTTAAAAAGGTATTTGTAAAGTTTTTCTTCCAGGAAATATTGTTCCAGTTGAGAAAATGTAGTTATGCACTTGCTCTGCCTTACTGTTCTACACACTCATTGTCAAGATACTTTTAGCATTATAGTCGACATATCATGTTGATACAGAATTAAATGTTTCTTCATCCTTATTACAGTTCAAATGTTGAAAACAAATGTTGGGTGAGATAACGTTCTCTAAGCGGTATCTTTTCTTTTTAATCCACACATTTATAAATTTACAGTGTTTAAAGTTGATGTTTATTAATATAAAACAAGATATTTTCAATGTTTCGGCCACAAAATACACAGTCAATCCCCTTTCCAATATATCCTGTGAAGCGTTTTGAGACGTGATAAGGCGCTATATCAAATACAAGGATTATTATTTATTTATTTTAACAGCCTCCTATAAAACTATACATTTTATTTGATTATTAATTGCTGTAACTTTTCATCATACCAACCTTTCATTGGCTGGAGAAAAAAACTACAAAGTATAGCTCCCCTCAACCTCTATTACAATAAAATTGTCGCAGGCTTGCAGGATTTTTATTTTAACTGTGGTTAGGTAGCTATGTCATGTAATCAAAAAAATGTCAATCACTCTTAAAGGGACAAGAAAAAATATGGTTTTATTGCACTTACCATTCTGAAGTAATCAGCTAGATGATTAGGTGTCCAGTTAAGAACATCATTATGATTTGGAAGGTTTCTGAAAGCCATCTTAAATAGATTTCTATTAAGTTTTCACTCCATTTAACATTGTAATGTGCAGTTGAAAAAAAATGTTTTTTCTCTTCCTGCTGCACACCACAGCCTCCACAGTATGTAGAAAGGAAGTGCGTAGGATACTGATATGCCAAAACACAACCACGACTGCTTTAATGCTAAAAAAATTATCTAGTTTACTCTTTGAAAATGATTAATTGTAAGCTGGGAATATGTATCAGCTATACATTTTATTTGCTAAACTATGAACCTCTTCTGAATATTATTCTGAGAACTCTACATGAAAACAGCCTGCTCATTTGTTACTTCCGTTCCATATTACAGAGAAATCGAGAGGAAACTTAGCAAAAAGTGTCCAAGAAAGAAAGAGGAACAAGTGTTTTAAGATTGTGAGAGCAGGACCCTTGCACAACAAAGATCAACAATTCAGCATTATGTCTCAACTTCCCTCTCAACTACTTGTCTAATTCTATTTAACTATGTCACAGCCGCCTTAGCTTTTCTTAGCCTGATTTTAATTCATAGTCATAGCTCCAACATCTTTTCCATAATGCATAATCACTGCATAAAATCTGCTTTGAGGAAGGAGATGGACAATGGTGAGGATCTTACATATCCAAGCCAGGAACCTCCATCCTCCTAGCACTGGCTAACAGCTTCCTTTCTGCAGCTCGGACACACCTCACTTACCATTGAGCGATGGTTCCACCAGTTGGAGGTGAACAGTTTAAGACACAGGCCAGGCTGTCCCAGACTCCCAGAGACTGTACCTTGGATGACAGACCAGCCAACCTGGCTCTTCGGTGTGACTTGGGACAGAGATTCATTGGGGAAAAGGGGATTCTTCCCACATGTCTTTTGTTCACACTGAAATCCAAACCCCAACACATAGAATGATCTAACTTGGTTAAGCATCGGGAAGCTTACCAGGTAATGGCAAGCTATTTAGTTTTAGCTGGTTAAATTCACGTTGCCCCAAGGCACCTTTGGGTTTCCAAAGCCTTGACTCTCATCTGCACCTAATATACTCTGGAATTAGGTAAGATGGGTGTGTCCCTCTATAGGAAGAGGATGCATTCCATTCCATAACACAGATTAACTTGGGGACCCAGAGTGTGCAGTCAAACTATGCTAAACTTTTCAAGTGCATTCCTAGTTAGTCTGCCTCATTCCGATCTACAAACTCCAACTTATGCAAAACTCTATTGACCACATCCTCACTCATGTCAAACTCTGCACTGTCTCCCTGTTTTCCAGCAATTGATTTCATAGAATCATAGAATCTTACAGCGTGCAAGGAGGCCAGACCATTCGGTCCATCGTGCCTGTACTGGCTCTTTGAAAAAGCTATCCACCTAGTCCCATTCTCCCTTTCTTACCCCATAGCTTGCATTTTTTTTCATTTGTAAGTACCTATCCAATTCCCTTTTGAAAGTTACTATCGAATCTGCTTTCACCACCCTTTCAGGCAGTGCATTCCAGACTGTAACAACTCTCTGGGTGAAAAAAATGATAAATACAAGTGGCTTCAATCCCAATTGTTGATTCTTAGTGATATCCAGGAGTTGTGGTTGACACCAACTTTTGCTTGAACAGTGAACTGAACACTAAACTGAGAAGGGGTAAAAGGTACTCTTGGCCATTCTTGTCTCTCTTGCCTGAGTTGTCTTCTCTCAAGACTGAAGAGCTCCAACTTGTCCAATTGCTCACAGCTGATTTCTCTGAGACTTGTGATCATCCTTGTTACTCCTCTACAATGCCGCTAGGGTCTGAGGAGCCCCTTATGTCACAGTGACCAGAATGGTATGGAGTACAGACGTATAGATCAATATACATGATGGGCCAAATGGCTTTTTNCTGTGCCATAAATTTCTGCCCGAGGAATGCTGCCATACTGGGACATGGCCAGAGGAGGGAGCAGTGATACACAAATCTGTTGGCCGAACGCAAGTCAACCTCAATAAGACTTGACAGCATTTGCATCACTGCTACTCTCTGCTAATGAGTCAGGTTTGAGGTGCAATGATCCCTTTAAACACTGCAGAGAAACCCCTTTATAAGGACCAACAACACTTAATCATAGTCACCTGAAGAAGGAGAGGATAGAAGGTAATGTTTAATTTGTACAAAAATTTGTGTCCAGTTCTGGTCTCTACACTATAAGAAAGATATAACAACGCTGGAACGAGTATGGCACATAGGTTTACAAGGATGATACCAGGTCTGTACCCTGAAACCATCTCACTTAATTGTCCTGCTCTCCCCATGATGATCCACTCCAGTGGGCTAACCATGCCTCGCTGCCCCCCACCCCCCCCATTCACTCTTAGTCTAGGTGTGCGCATTTTAGCTGCCACCACTGACCCAAGCTGCTTCCCCAAAATGCTCCCACCCCTGCCTTCTACCCTCCATTACTCCCGCTCGGTCCTCCTCTCGCACCGCCCTTCCCGACCCCTATCCCTGCTTGACCATCCCATGGCCTCCCTCTTCTCCAGCCTGTGAATCCTTCGTCGGGCCCACTGTGGCAGACGCAACTGGTTGTCCAACAGCAGTCACTCTGACTGCCCTATTCCTTATTCTCACCGCAAGGCCCATCGGTCCCTGACCACAGGGTTCAACCTCTCCTCCCTTATCCACATTCCCACCCTCCCTGTCAGTCCTCCCCCTCACCTCCCTCACCCCCCACATTCTCCCACCAACTGTCCCCTCTGCTTTGGCCTACAAAATGTCTGCTCCCTCTCCAATAAAACACTCAGCATCCAAGACCTCATTGTCGACGAAAACATCGACATTCTTGTCCTCACTGAAACTTGGATCATTCCAGGCGACACCTTTCCCCTGACAGAGGCCACACCAACTGGATACACCTTCCATGATACCTCATAACCTAACTGCCATGGTGGAAGGGTGGCTCTTATCTCCCAGATCCCACTCGACTTATTATTGGGTCACTCTTCCTTGGTCACCCACCTTATTCCATGTTATCAACGACATATTGGAAGCCATTAACTTGATGTATCTGTTCCAGGCACTTGACAGAATTGTGGCGATTCTGTTTGTGGCTAATATTCTGTTGCCGATGGACTCATGGGGATCTGCTGTGTTGCATTCACCCTCTTTAATACTTGGCTACTCACTGGATATGATGGTGGATGCCCCCAAGTGTGGAATCATGGTTCTGTGTGGCTCAAGAGAAGACATTGAGGGTATTTGTTTGGAAGATACAAGGGCACCAGTCCCAATTCAATTCTCGTCGGTATCTGAAGGGTGAGATGGACACCAACTTTTGCTTGAATCCTGTCTTGTGAGACTGTGCTGAGATGGGAGAAGGGCACTCTGCATTTTCTTATCTCTCTTCAAGGATAGCAAGGTCCCAATACAGGTTAAACGTGGTGCACAACACCTGTGCCCTCTATGGTATCAAGCTCCTGGGAATGCAGCAGAAAGCCTTCCTCGGGCCCATTTGTGATTCTGCGATCAAGCAGCGAGGTGGATTTGTGATAAACAGGGAAAGTGGATCCAGAGAGAGAGGTCTCTGACCTACAGTGACTTGTTGCTGAGCATCATAGAGGTGGGGTAGTCAGCAGTATCAAAGGCAGTGGAGAGATCAAGGGAAACAAGAGTGCAGAGAGAGTCCTGGTAAAAAAAAGCAAAACTCCCTTTTCCAAGTGAGTGCCTCGGGAAGGTACAGAGTGTCACTCCTGACTATGGTTCGGAAGGCTGTGGGTTCAAACACCAAGATGGGAGGTCATAGTTCATGCTAATGCAATGCAATATTGGTATTGTTGGTATTCACTGTAAGCATAAGATGTTAAACAGTTCATGTCTGCATGTTCTACAAACTATCCCTCCTAATGCCTCTAGATCAACCGATGATTCACCTTAGGTCTCTTTGTCAGGCCTTCCCTTGTGTGAAAGGCTGCTCAATTTGCCTACAAATACATAGTCACTGAGGATAATTCTTGTGAAGCCTTTTGATGTACCGTGGTTTGGTGCTATAAAAATTAATTCTTCTGAAACCATTTGGGAGAAAATAATCCCAAAGGGATAAAATGACAAATACTGATACAGTATCCTAGGAAGATATTTTAATTGCAATCTCTTTTCAATTAAAGTTAATTCGTAGCAAATGTTGTAAAAGAGATATATCTATTTCCCTTAGTTGCGATCCACAGTAAATGCTGAGTATCGTTTCTGCTGCTTGTGGGCTTGGTAATATTCCTGAAACGTACCATGCTAAGCCCTCAAGGGGGTTAACATTTAAGCTTTGGTTGTTATCTTTTGAAATATTGTAAAATCCTTTTAACTCAGAGAACAAAAGCAACAGTAGAGTCTTACATAATAACTAGCTGTGCCTGTTGCAGCTATGCTTCCAACCAAAGGATCCAATATGGAATGTAGATTAGCAGACAGACAGACACACAGATAGACATTACATCTTCATCTATACAAATCTGGGAGGACTCCTTTTGGGAGGATTCAGTGTGAGGACTCGGCGCTTTAAAAATGTTACTTTGTTATTGTTGCCGCGACTTAGCTTCGTCTGTCTTCTTTATTTTGTTCCTGCCGCTTGGCTATGTGCATGCTCTGTGACGCAGGATGCCACAGCGCCACGGTCAGCCGGCATGGCCACCAGGTATAATGGCAGTGTGTGTATACATATGTAGGTGCTCTGTGACGCATGATGTCACAGCGCCAATTTGACTCGGCAGCCACCAGGTGTAACTGCAGCAAAAAATGCAAAACTGAAAATATCTCATGAACGATAGGAGATACCAGAAAACAAATATGCCCGTGTCACTCCTAGTTACAAGACCTTTCTGATGAGTATAAATCATGTCTCTACATGAATCGGTTATTGAGTTCCTTGAAGCATAGACAGACATTGTCGTTTTATTAGTATTAATATATGATAAAGAAGATAGATAGAAGATAATAATAATCCTTGCATTTGATATAGCACCTTATCACATCTTCAAGATGTCTCAAAGCGCTTCACAGAACATACTGTGATTGGTAATTGTGCACCACTGAAATTGTGTGTTAGTGAGCACAACAGGGTATCATTCCTTCACCTTAACTCTGTTGCCTTTCA